AGTGTATCCCAGTTCTATATATAGTATATATATATATATATTTTTGCGCTCAGTTCTTTACGTTTATATTTATAAACAAAGGAAAGATAAGCAGAACGTTTTAAATTAGGTAAAATTTATTTAATAAAAAGTGTCACCTAAACGTCGTCGCTTCCGAAATAATCAAAATGATAGTACTAAATGCTAATTAATTAAAACTACGAACAATAGAAAAATAAAATATCCCACCGAGAAACCCATCGTATGTATATAGTAAATACTAATTTTCCAGAGGACATTATGTCTAAAGAAAGTTTTTGACATGTGGACGATTTAGCTAGGCGACATTTTTGCTAGGAGACATTTTGTGCCACAGGACATATCGACCAGAGGAACATACAGTACATTATGACAGAGAACAAATTGGCCGAAAAGCCAAAATCGATCTACAAAGTCTAACAAAAATAAATGATAAAGATAATTTCTTAAGCGAAATTATCATATATCGTGTGATTGATTTCTTTAGTATATTGATTTTCCTATAAATTATGGACACTAAAGTATTTGATTTCATCAAAAAAGGTTCACAATCGATCCGTCCAACATCTGGAATTCCGCTTGATGATAAGTCCTTTTAGCAAAAAGAAATCTGGAGTGTCATTAAATCCGTTATTATTCCATTAAATAAAGATGGCAGAGTCATCAACATTCATCCGTTTTGTCGTTTTAAGAATCAAAGCGGCGGTATCTTCGTTTGGGGAAAGCCAAAGGTGCTAAATTCGAAGTCATTTAGTTCGTTCCGTTACATTTACGGAGATATCAGTTGTTCCTTTGTCAAATATTTACTCATCAGATTTTTCTCTTTGGTTCTTTTAAAAGTATTAATAATTTGCTTTGGGTTTCACTTTTCCGTGATTTTTTTTCGTAATAACGATGAAATAAATTTAAGTTTGCAAGAAGGAAACATGATTTAGTAGGTTTAAATAGTCGTAAATATTAAATCAACAATGGTGGTTTAGTTTGATATAACGACAAAATAATGATTTTTTTTAAAATCACGGATCTAATTTTACCGCCGAATTCGGTGATATTAATTTTATTTAAAGTATTTCGCAGATTTATCAAATTTTTCCAACCTTATGATTAATAGTTTGTATAGCTTGATATCCAAACACGTTTCACAAATATCTTTAATTTCTATGTATCTTGGATTTTGAAAAAGCAATTGGGAAAATTTTCAGGAGAATCGTATTCCGAAAATTCAAACTTATTGAATCCCAAATCAAAAAAAAACCTAAATTACAATAAAATCTCAAAATTGTTAACAAAAAAAAAAAAAAAATTGAAACAACATTGTTAAATTCATTTAACAACAGAAAATTTTCTCACAATCATGCACCTGCACCGATGCAGAATAATTATTTCGCCATATATGGTAATCATGAGCTTGTTTTTGATTCCAGGGTTACCAGTCCCCACCCCCCAAAGTTAAAATCGAAGGCAGAAACAGTAAATTTCCGGTTTCTTACAGTATTTCCGAAAATTATTGTGAACAAAATTAGTAAATGAATTTAATCTATTGAACGAGTAATTTTAACTTAAAAGAAAATAATGATATTTTAAACAAATCAATTTACTCATAATATATATAACTAGGAAACGGGACCGTCGTAATCTACAGACTTATAAATGAAATAATATAATCTATTTTAATAAATCCTAACTAATAATTATAACAAAATAATTAATTGAATTAATAATATAAATATTAAATCTATTCGTCATATTGTCACGTGAAGCCTCTTTTTTAAAATCATGATCTAACAATTAAACAGTATTTTAATTAAATAAAAAAAGGTACATTGCTTGAATTGATTTCCTTTGGAATGTAACTATGTGAAGTTATTTCATCTTTGAGTATTCTAATAATTCAATTATTGGCACAGCATTGTCACGGACTTTATAATTTAATAGAAATTACATTTATTTATTTTAATTAGTTATGGATTAAATTTCAAACTTTTAAAAAAAAAAAATTTAAAGGTTGTTAATTTATATACGAGAATGATAATTTTACTAATTAACAGGGGTGCGAAAGCGAAAAATATCGCGAAGGTGTTAAAGGGAGAATTTCGAAGGGAATGTATGCAAATAAATATAACAAGGGCGAGCATGAAATGTGAGCTGTTTAAGGATATCCAGCTCGTATTTATAAAAAGTAATAATTAGGCCAGCCTGGCGTCTTGAACATTTGTCATACTGACACCTTAACAACCTGGCACCTTTACAAGCCCTTTAACGAATGAATACTTTGAGGTACGAAAAACTTATATTTTTTGTTTATTTTATAATTTTCTATCACATCGTGATTTTGTGATAATTGTGCGAAGAGAAGATTCGATTTTAGTTCCGTTTTAAATGTTATGTGATGTATGGTTGCGGGGCAAAACCCTAATCCCATTTTGGCAAAAGTTAAAACCTTTCGATTTCGATGGGATTTCGATTTCGATGCTGTAGAAACATCCGGGTTTGCCCGGCAACCTTAGTCAGTGTAAGCATTGTAAGCATCCAAGTTAATGATGCAAAAATGTGATCAAATATACGTAAGCGAAAAGAATCGTAATAATGTGCGAATTCATTTGTAATGATCGACGAGGGCTGAAATTAATAAAAAGAAACATTTACTATTGAGAAAAAGATTAATCGTAAAAATGGCATTGAAAAGCAACTTGAAAGACCTGAAAGAAATAATTAAGGATTTAGAGAAAGCTGACGAGGATAATCAATTCACACTCAACTTTTTACGTGATGAAATAGGTAGCGATGATTTGGACAATTTAAAAGAATTATTAGGAGGACGTAAACTTACCGAGATATTAGCCGAATTAAGTGATCGAAAACAAGATGTTATAATCTTAAATAATCATTTAATAACAAAAGAAAAGGAATTATTAAAGTTAAATTCACAATTAAAATATTTAGAAGAAAAGGTAAAAGAGCGAGAAGAAGCTATTAATGTTTTAGAAGAAAGGAATAAAGAAATAGAAGTAAAGACCAACGAAATTATTAAGATTGTAGACAACCAAACTACAACCAAGAAAGAAACTATTAAATATTTGGAAGAAAAGTTTAGAGAACATGAGAAAGAAGTCAAAATGATGCAAGAAATTATTATTGAATTAGGAGAAATTGTTAATGAGCAAGAAAAAGAAATGAAAGCCAAACAAAAACCTATTGATGATTTAAAATTATACACCATTAATAGTTTAACCATTACAGATACTAATAAGGATGAAATCTTACACACCTCAGTTGGATTGCAAAGATATCAAGGATTAAAAGTACTCCGCATTAACAATACTAAAATAACTAGATTACCAACATTACCCTATTCCTTAACCGAACTTCACTGCTCGTGTACACAAATAAAAAGTTTATCAACTTTACCTGAATCCTTATCCGTACTCAGTTTTTTCAATCCTCAAATAACAAGCTTACCAACATTTCCTAGTTCCTTAACAGTACTTATTTGTTGCTATTGTATTCAAATAACAAGCTTACCAGCTTTACCCATCTCCTTAACTCAACTTAACTGCAGTTATACCCCAATAATTAGCTTACCAACTTTACACAACTCCTTAACTTGTCTTGACTGCGGAAATACTCAAATAATTCGCTTTCCAATTTTACCCAACTCCTTAACTCGTCTTGACTGCGTAAATACTCCAATTACTAGTTTGCCAATCTTACCCCACTCCTTAAAAGAACTTTACTGTTCTGATTCTCCAATAGCTTACTTACCAATATTACCCAACTCTTTAACTCATCTAAACTGCAGTTATACCCAAATAATCGGCTTACCAACTTTACCTAATTCCTTAACTCGACTTGACTGCAGTTATACTCTAATAACTAGATTACCAACTTTACCAACCTCCTTAATTTATCTTGACTGTGAATATACCCATATAAATAGCTTGCCACCCTTACCTAACTCTTTAAAAGAACTCTATTGTTCTAATATTTCAATGACTAGCTTACCAAATTTACCCAATTCTTTAGCAGAACTCTACTGTAATAATATTAAAGTAACTAGCTTACCAACCTTACCTATCTCCCTAACCACTCTCAGTTGTTCTGAATCTCTAATAACCAGCTTACCAACTTTACCAAAGTTCTTGTCTTGTCTTAACTGTAATAACACTAGTATAAAAAGCTTGCCAAATTTACCTAATTCCTTAACTTTAGTCTATCCCGAATCCTTAAAAACCGCTGTTGCAATAAATTAAATATATAATTTTATCAAAATAATTTGAGTACATTTTCGCAAAATCAAACAACAAATAAAATTTTTTACTATTAAAAATTAATTATATGGAAAACCGGTAAGAGTTTTCGTTATTGATGCAGATCGTACCGCAGTACAATTCATATTCTTTTACTAACGATATTCATGCAAGGGGGTAACTTGTATCTCAAAAACGAATGGTTATGTAGTCTAGCTTAATGAGAACAAATTATCGGGTATTACTGGAAAGACTTATGAATGAATTCATATATTTGGATAAATACTGAACATTAAAGGGTAAATTCTTTATTCTTGTCATTTGAATTTAGGAAGCAATGCAATGTATTTTATTGCGAAATTCTTTCTCAAATAGAAATCTATTACTTTGAAATCTTGATTTTTTTATTTGTGTTCAATAACCTCAATATATAAATACATTAATATGATAAGTTCCAATCATGTGAAAACTTTCTGAATTAAATTTTTTTTTTATTTTTTGATAATTTGGGGCCTTCACCTTAGTATTATTCAATAAAAGGGTATATTGTAATATGATTATGAAACGCAGGTTTAAAGATGTTTAATAATTAACAATCATATCTGAAAAATTTCTAAATCGAGTGTTAATTTTTTTTTTTTAAAAAAAAAAAATCATTATTTGTGTATAAAAATGTGAATATATTGTAGATTGATCTTTAGAATTAAAAAAAAGCCACCGTTGCTTTACAAAGAAACGAAATAAAGAATTAAATAAATTATTATATATTACAACAAATATTCTTTTTAAGGTGTTTTGATTTTCTGAAGTTGGGATTCAGACGATCTTTGGGTGTGACGAATTTTATTAAATTTTAAACTATTTATTTTATTAGAAACGACCAGCAAGGATCTGTATGTATTTGTTTTTTAGTTATTTTTATTTTATTATTATTACTTTTGTTTATCCAAATAGCGGGCGGACGGGACCGGGTGTATTAGCTGGGAGTGGATGGTCAACTAACTGATACAGGCTGCGCGCGTTGTTTATTATGCGTATTTGGTATTTGATGTGTTCATTCAAAAAAGTTGAAAAGATATTCGAGAATATCTCCGTATTGATGATATATCTTATTCTTCAGGACTCAGAAGACCTTATTGTATTGTATCTCCAAGGATCAATCACATATGGTACCTATGGACTTCATTTAGGTTAGTATTGTAATTTTATTATGCTTTCAAGAAATTGACGAATTTCTTTCCCCTGATTATCAGGTATGAGTAAATTTATTTGCTCTATATAGTTTTAAAAAAAAAATACTCTTGGTTGACTGACTCAAACTAAATCCTTTAACTTTTTTTTTCTCATTTCTTTTTTCACAATTACACAATGGATGAACTTTT